AGCGAAATAGACCACATCATATTCAATCGACGGTTTTGCCTGACCGATGTCGCTGTTGTCCCAAAATTTCGAACGGGATCGGACCACCATCTCCTTCGTGCAAAATTCTACTTCACAGAGTGGGGAGAAAGGACTGCAAAGTTCAAAAAGAGAACTCTGAGAACGACCACCAACTGGGAACTCTTTGGCACTATTGTGGCAACATGGGAAGATGCCATTGTTGACAACATTGACGAGGAATACGATAGACTGGTTCAGCACCTCCATGAATGTGCGAGGAACACCAAGAGAGAGATAGCCACAAAAAAATGCCTGTCTTCGAAAACTCTTGAGCTAATTCGCCAGCGTGGTTTGGCGCATGCCTCAGGCAACAGCAAGCTAATGTCCGAGCTTGCAAAGCAGTGCAGAGATGCGATCAAGGAAGACCTCAAAGAGAGAAGAGCAGAAGTACTGGTAGATACGGCAGAAGGTTGGAAAGTATTCGTAACGCCCGCCTGTCCTTTGCCAACTACAAGACCAAGATGACTGCCCTCCGACGTCCTGATGGATCCATCACATCCTCCAGAATCGCAATGGAGAAGATTATCTTTGACTCCTACTCAAATCTCTTCGATAGCCATGTCCACTTGCCGACTTACCAAATTCCACAGGATGGATATGTCGTTCCCAACGTTCTCCCTTCTGAAGTAGGACATGCCATTTCGTTGGTAAAGAAATGAACAGCACCCGGCCCAGACAAGATCAGACCTGAACACCTGAAGAACCTGCCGTCAGTACTCATCAATACACTAGCTCGGCTCTTCACTTGCTACCTGTCTGAATGCAAGGTTCCGTCCCAATGGAAAACCAGCAGGACAGTACTACTGTTCAAGAAGGGAGACATCCATGACATTGGCAACTATCGCCCGATCTGCCTATTGTCTGTCATCTACAAGTTGTTCACTCGAGTCATCCTAAATAGGATTGGCAGAACACTAGATGAAGGACAACCATGCGAGCAAGCTGGGTTCTGCAAGCGATTCAGCACCATCGACCATATCCACACAATAACCAAGCTCATTGAGGTTTCTCGGGAGTTCAAGATGCCGCTCTGTTTAATGTTCATTGATTTAAAGAAGGCCTTTGATTCTGTTGAGGTGGAAGCGGTCATTGAAGCCCTAGCCAATCAGGGCATTCAAGCCCAATACATCAAGATCCTCCGTGAGCTGTATTGTGGATTCACTACCAGGATCTCACCATTCTACAAAGAAGTGATCGTTGATGTCAAGAGAGGGGTTCGGCAGGGTGATACCATTTCACCGAAACTCTTCAGTGTCACCCTAGAGAACATCATGCGACGACTGGAATGGGAAGGAATGGGAGTGAAGATAGATGGTCGGCAATTACACCACCTCTGCTTTGCTGATGACATTGTTTTAATAACACCAAACATCAGCCAAGCGGCACCAATGCTGGCCGACTTTGACTGTGAGTGTGGAAAGGTAGGACTACAGCTGAATCTTACGATGACAATGTTTATGAGAAACAGCCTCGTTCCTGATGCTCCATTCGCTCTCAATGGAACGACCATTTCTGAATGCAACAGCTATGTCTACCTAGGTCGAGTAGTCAACATGACAAATGACCTGGCACCCGAGCTGCAGGAGGAAGAGAGCAGCTTGGAATGCCTTCAAGAATGTCGAAGAAATAGCTAAGAGGACGAAGAACCTCCGACTCCGGGCACATCTCTTTTATTCCACTGTTCTTCCTGCATTAACATATGCCTTCAGAGACCTGGGCCCTATGCAAACAGGATGATAATGCTATTCAGGTCTCCCAAAGAAGAATAGAAAGCGCTATGCTTGGAATAACACGTTTCACTCAAATGAGAGAAAAAATCTGGAGTTCCGACATCCATCGACGATCAAGAATCAGGGGCGCTGTCTCATTTGCCAAGGTGTCAAAAATCAGATGGGCTGGTCACGTAATGAGATTTGAAGACGACCGCTGGACTAGAGCTGTTACTGACTGGATTCCACGGGATGTCAAAAGACCGCGTGGCTGCCCACCTACCAGATGGTCAGACTTCTTCGTCAAGATCATGAAGGATCGGTTTGAGGCTCTTTATGTTCCCAGAGAAAACAGATGTCATTGGGGTACACTCGCACGCGTCAGGGACAAATGGAGACGTTACTGGCACCCGCTCGAGCAAATCGACGACTAACGGGAAGTTAAGTGATTAAGTGATTAAGTGATCCATCCCACTGTTTCTTTTATTTTTTCCTTTAATTTTCTGTATGTCTCCTCCTTTGATTTTTTGGGTAGTTCCTTGAAGATCCTCAGCATTTCATCTCGCAATTCTTTATTGAAGAGAGCATATTTGTGGGTAAACCTGTTGAGGATTCAGGACTCTTTTCTTTGTCCTCTCCTCGTAGTGAAGATTTGCGCTGTTTCTTCATGCTGTTGTGGTTGTCTAAGAGGTAAAACCTTGGAATTTATTAGCACTGTTCCCTCTTATCATGGGAAAAGATTCTGGATAAGGTCGGTCTATGGTGGTCACCCTCTCCCTTTCTAGAATCTTTTCTTCCTCTCAGGCATTATTCTGTGGCTTATGACGGGCATCTACTGAAGTGTTGACGGAGGTGCTCTTTTATATTGGGCTTGTACAGCTTCTCGAGTACTGGTCTTTTGTTGGAATTGGAGTAGGTCAGTGGATTATTGTTGTATTGTAGTTGAGGCAGTCAGAACTTTTTTTTTTATTAGTGAAACACCATGAGGTACAGTTATAGACTTATAAATTTTTGTGCTTGGGTTTCAGTTATACAATGATCAAATACCCATCCCTCCACCAGTGCCCATCCTCCACCACCACGGGTCCCAGCATCCCTCCCACCCCCCATCCCCCCCGTCCCACCCTGCCTCTGTGGCAGGGCATTCCCCCTTGTTCTCTCTCTCTTCTTTTGGGTCCTGTGTTTTGCAAGAGAGGCCTTGAGTGGCAATCATGTTTGGTCTATAGACTACTTTTAGCATGCTTCTCCCACACTGGGAGGGTCTCACACACCCTTTATTTGGTGCTCTCTTCTCTATCTGAGCTTCCTTTTCACCTAGCACATGTGGCTGGCCTTCAAGTCATGGAGCAAAATTCCTTGTACTAATCTCAGCCATTCCTGGGTGTTAGTCTCCCGTTTTGTTGCTTTATGTTCCCCAGATGAGTGCAATCTTTCTGTGTCTATCCCACTCTTTCTGACTCATTTCGCTTAACATGATTCTTTCCATGTAGTACCACTTGTATGTAAATTTCATGACTTCATCTTTTCTAACAGCTACATAGTACTCCATTGTGTAAATGTACCAAAGTTTCTTTAACCAGTCATCTGTTCTCGGGCACTCAGGTTTTTTCCAGATTCTGGCTATTGTAAAGAGTGGAGGCAGCCAGAACTTTTCCCACAGATTTAGGTGATAAAGGCTGAGACGTGACTCGAGAGTGCTGTGAGTGAGAAATTTAACTGCTGACAGCGGCTGCCAGCTTCAGAGAAGGCCACACCCACTTTGAGGAGACCATGCTCCCTATGTGGAGGCCAACCTCCCAGTCAGTCCCAGGGCCCCACTGACCTAGGAACCTGTAGAGGAGTGTAGCACCACTGCAGGCTGGACGTGCAGTCTGGTGGAGCTTGGGCAGGTGTTCCCCAAAGTCTCCTCCAGCTCTGTGTCAGTGGGGGCCAGTGCAGGGAAAGGGGCATACACTCAGGGCACAGGAAAGGAACTAGCTCCCGGCTTCCAGACAAACCTGCAGAGGAGGGCGGTGCCTCGGTGAGGTGGGAGGCTCCCTAGTGTTTTAAAAAATCCATAAACGATCAACCTTAAGTGATCTACAGCTTTTGATCAGATTATTGTTACTTTTTTCTATACATTTTCTGAACTTAGTCAGGAAACCCAAAGTCAGTTTTATTTTGATATGTGTGCATTTCTGGATCCAATGGGCTGAAGCGATAGCACAGCAGTAGGGCATTTGCTTTGCACCTAGCCAACTTGGCCGACCTGAGTTCGATTCCTTTGCCCCTCTCAGAGAGCCTGGCAAGTTACCAAGAGTATCTCGCCCGCACGGCAAGGCCTGGCAAGCTACCTGTGACGTATTTGATATGCCAAACACAGTAACAACAAGTCTCACAATGGAGATATTACTAGGCCCACTAGAACAAATCGATGAACAATGGGAGGACAGTGCTACAGTGCTACCGTGCTGGATTCAATGGCCATAATCACCAGTCCAATCATTTAAAAATGCCATTAAGACAGTGAGGTGTGATTCTAGTGAAATGCCATAAAGGATTAGAATGACAGAAGTAAGAGTTCTAAAACTTTTAATTAGACAAAAAAGCTGCCCCTCCCCAAAAATGTATTTTCAAAATCAATGTTTTTTACTTATTTTTGAGTTGGAAATTTAAATATTTTGAGTGCTAGAATGCTGAAAGTTTATGAAGGATTCTAAATAATGCTGAGTTTACAATCAGAGAAAGCATCCACTTATTTCTTTGTGGGGGAGGGTGTGGAGTATGGGTTACCATGGCTGACTTTTTGGCACTCTGAGAACTAATAGCAAAGTTTGTTTCTTTGAAAGGAGATTTTTCACACTGGTTGCAGCCTTAGAGAAAAATAATATTTATTTTCAATTTACTTGGCTTAAGGTTTCCTTCCTTTACTTTCAGCCTTTAAACATACCAGCACAATTTTCTCCTCTCTCAGTGGGGGCTGGGGCACTTAAGGACAAGGTGTTTGTATTGGACTTAAATATAGCTGTTTTGGTTAGAATGTTGTTATAAGGAGTCTGAAGTCATAGATTTAATTCCTAAATGGAACTTCACTCTTTTCCATTAGTTATCTTTAAAGATGACCCCAAAGGAAGTGAAAATGAGTAATAAAATTTGATTGGAGAAGGAAGTTATGGGAGTTCCAATTAAAAGTTGTTGCCTTGTAAGGGATGTGGCATAGAGATGTGTGCAGGCCAAAGACAGCACAATGAGAGCCTTTTCCGGTTCATAAGCATGATGATTGGGCATTGACACATTGGTGTGACATGTGCCTCGTTTAAATCTTGTTAGGCATCTGGCACATTACCCATCTGACATGAAAAAAAAAAAGCACAATGAGGCCTGTAGTGACTATCAAAAGAGGAAAGATGGGCCAAAAAGGTAAGGGGAAGGGATAAATAACATAATTTTGGCTAGATGAAACAGATCCACTCTAGTTACAGTAAAAAACTCAGAGGGTGAGACATCAAGGATATCAGCTTGGGATCTGGTATTTATTGACTCTCCAACAAGACTGTCAGATGTGAAGATCATAAATCAGTTTCATATGGGTTCTAGGAGATTACTATCATTGTGAAACAAATAGTGAGAACAAGCCCCTTCTTCACAATGTCTTCTCCCTCTGGCTCTGCCATATACAAGAGAGAGCTGCTGTGGCTGCACACTTGTCAAGGCCAGAATTACTTTAGACACCTTCTCCATTTCTGCCCACAAGGGAAGACAGCATATGTTTTAAATCTTGTTCAAGAGAAGTCATTTAAAGAGACAGTGAAATTAAGAAAAAGTAAAAAATGCCCAACATTTTAGGAACCCTTACTGTATAAAAAATAGGAATGGGGATTATCGAGAGTTGAGAGGAAGCTCCTTCTGTAAGATCTTTTTATGAGGTCTAACTTCATCCTGATGGCTATATACATGGACATTCCTGGGTACCCTGCCTTCTGAACCACTTCCTCCTCTGAAAGCACAGTTTCTGGCCCTGCAATGCTTTGCATGATTTTGACTTTGAGAATATGGCACTCTCATTTGAATCTGACGCTTCTCAGTATATTGCTTTCTGTGTGGGTCACAGGATATTAGGAAAGCTCATACCATACTGCAAAACTTCCTACGCGTTTGGGCTGCAAGAAAAAGAATAGAGAACTTTTTATACTTATATTTTCTATATCCTCCTTGTTAGAAAAAACAAGAAAGTTACTTATCCCCCCAAGATATACCTTCTTTAAATGAACAAATACTACTCTCCTTCACTGTTCCAACAACCACCTCAACACCAGATGATTTTATCACAATAACCCCTCAGTTTGTTCATCATAGTTCATTGGCTATGAAAGCTATACAGAATGCAGCAAAGACAGGTATTCATGATGACTGTCAGTCATATGCCAATAAAATCAAAGCCTCCTCTCTCCTCTATTCAGAACATACCTTAACAACCTTAACAACCCAAGCCTCATGATGACATGCAGCAAGAAAAGACAGCATATTTGTCTGGGGCATCTATCTCTAATTTGGAAGTATTTCTTCTTTATTATAGCACTGTCCTCCCACTGTTCATTGATTTGCTCGAGCGGGCACCAGTAATGTCTCCATTGTGAGACTTGTTACTGTTTTTGGCATATCGAATACACCACGGGGAGCTTGCCAGGCTCTGTCGCGTGGGCGAGATACTCTTGGTAGCTTGCAGGGTTCTCCAAGATGGGCAGAGGAATCAAACCTGGGTCGGCCGTGTGCAAGGCACACAGCCTACCCACTGTGCTATCACTCCAGCCCTCTCCTTTATTATCCTTAATAATGCTATTTTGATCTAGTAGGTTCTTGGAAACTGTCACAAAAAATACAATTTGTGAATCAGTGGTGTTTATGTACTTCCTCAACAGTCTGGCATCGGAGAAACATATTTGCAGTTTCTGTATCATTAGACTTGATAAATAGCAACAATTTTATAAAACTTGTCTGTTACCTGTTTGAAGGTAAAGAGTTCTAACACAAGGTATACAAGCTAGCACTAGAAAGCTCTGATTAAGATGAAGGTAAAGAAGGATAAGATACCTATTTATCAAAGAAACAGTACTATCAATGAAGTTTGACTTCAGGTATTGATATAATTTTTTAAAATAGCAAATACTATACTTATTCCTCTCAATAAAATTTTAGAACTATAAAGAGACATTAATAGGATGTAGTTAATTGAAAAGGAGAGCTTTACCTGTAACTTAGTAAAATAAAATTTCATGGATGGTTAAAGAATTATATAAGAAATCATTTTGAATGAATAGTCATATTGGAAAACTTTCTTTAAATTAACAAACTGTATTTTAGGGAGTGTGGTATTGTAAAATGCATTTATATTTATTAAACTCAGGTGTGATTACCAACCAGACTAATTTATTTATAACACTTTAAGTCAAGTATATTTATTCATTTTATATATAAATGAATATATATACAATATATGTATATAACTTGGGAAATATGTTCTTATGGAAGTATATATACCTCAATATGTACTAAAGAACTCACTTAATATTTACACTAAAGAGCTATCTGCATTTGCTTACTTTTCTCATAGTTGTATAAGATAATATAATGAGCCCTGTACAGATTGAATACCCAAAGGTAAAGTCACAAGTATGTTTTTTAAGAACTTTTTAAAAATTTAATTACTGTGAGATAGACCCTTACAAAGCTTTTCATGATTAGATTTGAGTCGTTCAGTATTCCAACACCCATCCCTTCACCAGTGTGCCCAGCACCAAGTGTCCCTGGTTCCCTCCTATCATCTCCCACCCATCACTCTTTTCCTTCCTCTATGGCAGGCACTTTCCCACCCAACCCTTTTTTGGGGAGTGTGGTTTGCAATACTGACACACTGTAATCTTATCAAGAATATCCCTTTACCTACTTTTAATTCTCAGGTCTTCTTGTCCAGTGTGATAATTCCTAGCTATTATTATCATACTGGTCTCTTCTCTATCTTACCTAGCTTCAGGACCACACATACTTGTGGTTAGTTCCAACCATTTACCATTCTTCCTAACCCTTGTTTTTCCTGGCAATGAATATTATTCTTCATATATATATTACATGTTTAATATTACATGTTTTTATGTAATATAATTACATGAAAACAATCATTCTATATCTGTCCTTTTCCTTCTGAGTCATTTCATTCATGTCCATTCATATACATGAAAATTTCATAACTTTATTTTCCCTGACAGCTGCATTGTATTCCATTGTGTAGATGTGTAATAGTTTCTTTATTGAATTGTCTATTCTTGGGCACTCAGGTTGTCTCCAGCTTCTGCAAGTGAACATAGTGTCACAATGAACATAGGCATTCAGATGGTGTTTCTGCTGTGTTTTTGGGCCCCAATGCTATATACCCAGAAATGGTATTGATGTGTAAAATGGGAGCTCAATTTCTAATTTTTTTGAGAAACATCCATATTGTTTTCCCAAAAGGCTGGACCAGTCAACATTTCCACCAACAATGAAAGAGAGTCCCTTACTCCCCATATCCACGCCAACATTGGTTGCTTTTGTACTTTTGAATGTATGCCAGTCTCTGTGGTATAAGATTTTATCACACTGAGATTAAAAAAAGAACACAAGGAAATGGAAACATATCCCCTGCTCATGAATTGTTAGAATTACATTGTCAAAATGACAGTACTCCCCCAAACATTATACAGATTCATTGTGATCCCTATAAAGATACTCATGACATTTTTTCAAAGAAATTGATCAAACACTCCTGAAATTCATATGGAGAAATAAGTTCCCATGAATAGTTAAAGCAATCATTGGGGAATAAAATATAGTAGGCATCAACTTCCCTAATTTCAAACTGTACTACAAAGTGATAATTAAAACATCACGGTATTGGAATAAAGACATCTGCAGATCAATGGAATAGTGTTGAATATTCTTATACAAACTCTCAAATACATGATCATCTAATCTTTAATAAGGGAGCAAGAAATAAGAAGTGGAGCAAAGAAACCCTCTTTAACAAATGGTGCTGGCAAAACTGGACAGTTATATGCAAAAAAAATGCGCTTAGACCTAAAACCATGCACAAAAGTCAGATTACACTGGATTAAAGACCTCAACATCAGACCAGAATACATAAAGGACGTTGAAGAAAAGGTCGGCAAAACCCTTCTTGATATTGAAGCTAAAGGTATCTTCAAAGTTGAAATGCCACTTACCAAATAAGTGGAAGCAAAGATAAACAAATGGTACTATCTTAAACTAAGAAGCTTCTGTGCCTCAAAAGAAAGAGTGACCAGGATACAAAGACAGCCTATGAAATAGGAAAGAATGGATATTCACACAATACCCTTCTGCTAAGGGGTTTAATATCAGGGTTATACAAGGCATTGGTTGAATTCTACAAGATAAAAACATCCACTATCATCAGAAAATGGGGCGAAAAAATCAACAGAAACTTTCTCAAAGAAGAAATTTGAATGGCCAAAAGGTATATAAAAATGCTCTTCATCACTAATCAGCAGGGAGATGCAGATCAAAAAGTATCTTATGATGGACCATATATATATATGTATATATATAGTGTATTTGTTTCAAATTCTCATAAATTTGTGGTGTCTCAAATTTGAGGCTTTCACAATAGTAGAGGGCAAGATTTCTTTATTGGATCTTTTTTACTAAATGCAAACATATGTTCACTTGCCTCAAAATGTATTCTTTTACTTCCATTTATTGAAAAGTGTCACCAATTCTCCAGAAATTTTTCTTTTAATTTTTAATAAGGACCCATAAGAATAGCTGAGAATACTAAGGCTACTCCCAGCAATGGTTAGCAGGGTGGCTTGGTGCCTGGGGCCACCAGGACTAAACCAGGTGGCACTTGGGGAACCACGTGATACCAGAGATTCAATATCTCAGTACTACTAAGGTAACATCTAAATGTAAATTAAAACTACAGAATTTCTTCTGTAAAGTCAGTTAGCAATGGTTTGAATTAATTGATCTGTTTTTTTACTAAGTGATCTTTTATTGCTATTTGCCATATTCGAGAGGGACATTGTCGAATTTTTTCCCCACCCCCCACTGCCCCCATTGTCGAATGTTTTTGGTAAACTTTTTTAAAAACTATTTTTTGTTGTATCACTGTAAGATAGACCCTTACATAATTGTTCATGATTGGAATTCAGTCATAAAAAATTCCAACACCCATCTATCCACCAGCATAGATTTCCCAGCACCAATGTCATCAGGTTCTCTCCTGTCACCCCCCACCCCCATCCCCTGCATTGTAGAAGTTTTAAATATCCTTAAAGAGAAG